TACGAAATATGAGTGGTCATTGTTAAGGGCCAGAAGTCACTTGATATGTTACCATTGCTGGCCTGTCGGCTGTTTTAACCTTTTCTTTTTGTCCCAACTTTTGAGTGCCATTTGTAGAGTCAGAGAGCTGACGGTAGCAACAGTCAGACTTCAGGTGACAAAGTTCCAGCCAAACTAGTTGGTGTATTTTTATATATTTTTTTTTTTTTTTCCATATGAAGTTTTATTACATTTTGCACATATAATGACCAAACAAATAGACTAACATTAAGTGATCAACAAAGATAAGTAGAAACACCAGGTGCAGTCCGGTACTAAAGCTGGCCATACCCCTAGAGCTTTTTTATGGTCACATGGAAAGTGCAACAGATTCCTTCATCTACGCTAAAATGTGTGGCTGGAGGGATCTCCCACTGGGCCAAGCTTTCGTATCTTGCTAGGTGCCCCCTCTGGCTGTCAAAATACCTGAAGAATGCCTGCATCCAATCGGTTTGTTTGGGTATTTTGACAGCCAGCAGGGCTGACTAGCAAGATACTGAAGCTTGGCCCAGCGGGTGATTCCTCCATCTAAACAGTTTAGTGTAGATAGAGGAATCTGTTGCATGTTTTCCATCTGACCATAGAAAATCTGCTGATCTAATAGGTGTATAGCCAGCTTAATCCAAGTGAGACAAGTAAACCTGAGACAGAATGGTACTGGTCAGAACGGTAAAAAAAGTAGCAAACAAGAACATAATCAAACCAGTGATGACTTGAACTCCACCAGGGGATGCATGAACAGAGTAAAATATAATCACATGAGATAAGACCCTTCAAAACCCCCATTCCCTGGGAAGTAGAGCCAGAGGCTCTAACAGTCTCCCTGTCATGAACACATAAGGGGGAATTTATCATAGCAATTGTGTGTTTGAACTTGCATATGGTCGCATGGAATATATTCGCTCCACATTTATGTTGATAGTGTAATGTTCATAAATGAGGGAAAGAAGACTCGTAACTCCAGGCAAAAAGCTTAACTGTCACTTCTTGAAGAAGTGGACATGGAGACTTCTTATGTTGCGATTGTTTTGTTAGGTGATGCGCCAGTTTCAGACAGGACAAGCACAGATGTAAATGGCTGCAAAACATGCGCAATCGGTAAAATAGTGCAAGCTCTAATCAAAACAGGCACACCTCTTAACAGGAGCTGCAAAACATTTGCTCTTCAAAAAAAAAAGTAATCAAAGAGGATAAAGCAGACGCAATAGCGTTCATAAAGTTCTCCCATAGCATCATTCTCTAGTCTGTCTAGTCAATTATTCACTCGTGCACATTATTTGCTCTCTGACTGGTAGGTTGATCCCGAGTTAGTCACACAGAGGTGCAGACAGAAAAGGCTCCCCAGGGTCTACCCCAAGATATATTACACAGTAAAGCAGGCACCCTGTACCAATAGGTCATGAATTGCATACCGATCTCTTGCATCTGCACTTTTTGAGAACCCTTATGTATCCTAGTGTTAATCAGTTCCCAATCCTTGAAAATTTGTATTCTTAGTTCACCTACAAGCTTGTCAGCATTAGGCAGAGAGGGGGCAAGCATGATCTGATATAGATAAGAAATGAAACGTCTTTGTGGGGTTATTTTGAGACTAAGGGACGTTAACGGAGTTAGAGTCCTCGAAGCAGACTCTGGTCTTGGAATTATTCAAGTAATGCCTTTTAGAGGATCAAAGCATGAGACTCTTGGGGAGGGAACCGTACTGTAGATCTCACAGGTCATGGAATAAGCCCTTACTGAAAAATTGGCCCGCATAACCACGAGAGTGAGGTCAGCATCTCTTCAAGAAGCTTCCATCCATGCCTGGAGGGAATTCTAGGTTCGGAAGTACTGGTGTCAATGGACTTGGGATGGAAGAAATAGAAATCTTTCTACATGACATACAGAAAGCTTGCAGTGTAGCCCCAATTAGTGGATGTTCTAAAACTTTTACAATTTACTTGTGTCCCATTGTAATGCCATAAAGACTGGAATCCCATATATATATATATATATATCTGGAGCAGATTTCCACTGCAACCATTCTGTAACCTCAGCTCTCTTTCACCACTGTCCTCCCTGCAGTAAGATTCTAATACATCTTGATCCTGCTTGCAGCTCTGATGCTATCATTTCTCCCAATAATTGGATTCTAGAGTGCTCACTGCTCTTGGCCCTGTTTGTGAGTCTAGTGTAGACTTGCTACCTTTATCAATTCTCATATTGCTGGACTACGCTTTCGAAAAACCTACTATTCATTCATCAAATGCAATTAATTCTTAATCCTCTACTCAAGTTTTAGTCTTATTATTATATTATTTACTTCTTTTTCCACCAAGGTCTGTTTTTTCTTCACAAGTAGGGTCCAGTATACTGTATTTGTGAGTTTTTTTATCAACATAATATATACAGAGCACTGTTACACATTTCTATTATACATTTAGTCATCCTGACATTGCTACTAGAAGAGATGAGTGTGCTGTACATGCACCTTTTTTGGAATAGTTTTGGATACCTCTGCTAGTGCCCTGAAGAGTATATGACAATTGCCCCATTGCACT